AAAAAAAAAAAAAAAAAAAGAAAAGAAAAATGCTCCCATTGTCCCCCCAAAATAAATTGCATTTTTTTTAAAGCTGGAGTTTCACTCTGTTGCCCAGGTTGGAGTACAGTGGCACGCTCATGGCCACCCCAGCATCAACCTGCTCGGGTAATCCTTCCACCTCAGCCTTCCCAGTAGCTGGAACTACAGGCATGTGCTACCACGCCCGGCTAATTTTTGATTTATTGTAGAGACAAAGTCTTGCCAAGTTGCCCAGGCTGGTCTTGAACCCATAGGCTCAGGCAATCCACTCACCTCAGCCTCCCAAAGTGCTGGGATGACAGGCTGAGCCACCGAGCCCAGCCCTTATGAGTATTAACATAGCAAAATCCTCCTTCATCTGGTCCCAATGCATCCTTCCAGGCTCATCTGCTACTGCTCCCAAAATGCACCCCCGCCCCACTGCCCATCTAGGCTGCGAGCTCCCTGGGTTCTTCCGGTCCTTAGTCAGGTTTGGGCTTGTCCTTGACCTCCTGATGCCGTGGGCTCTTCGCTGTAAGACACTCTGTTCTTCAAGGCTCAGCTCAAACACCAGTGTCCTCTAGAGCCTCGGCTGGTTTCTCTAGCTCCCTTACACTCTGAGAGCCTCCCATCAGTGACGGAGACTTTCTGCACTCAGCTCACAGCCGGGGTTGGGTGCTTGGGTCTCACCTCTGCCATCAGGCTTTCCCGTCTCAGATCCGGCGCAGTACATACCCACGTTCCCCGCCTTCAGTGGCCTCACGCACGAGTTGGAAGAACAAATATGATGACTGCCCTGATGCTCTTGAACTTCCCCCGATCCTCATCACAAATCTTAGGACAGTGTTTTACTAAGAAAGGAGATGCCATCGTGTTTGTAAGCTCTCTACGTATACTGGTGTGAAATAAAAATGGTGAAAGAGGCTGGGTGCAGAGGCTCACGCCTGTAATCCCAACACATTGGGAGGCTGAGGTGGGAGGATCGCTTGAGGCCAGGAGTTCGAGACCAGCCTGGCCAACAGGGCGAGATCCCTTCTCTACCAAAAAATCAAAACAATTAGCTGGGCATAGTGGTGAATGCCTGCAGTCCCAGCTACTCAGGAGGCCGAGGCGGGAGGGTCACTTGAGGCCAGGAGGTCAAGATCAGTCCGGACAACATGGCAAGACCTCATTTCCTCCCTGCCCCCCCAAATTGTTTTAATACATTTTTTTTTTAACTGTAAGAGATTCTGATCAAGACTCAGCCACTAGGCAGACCTACCTACCTCCCACTGGGGGTAATCGTGAGGCTTCAGGGGACCCTTGTGGGTTCCTGGGAGCACAACCAGACAGCCGTTGTTCCGGTCGATGTGCTCCATGGCCGTCCAAGCACAAACGATCTGATTGCTGGGTCTGAAGGGGAAGTAGTGCAGGTCCTGGTGCAGGGGATGCCGGGACGTCTTCTTGCCTAAAACAAAACCTGCTGTTAGAGGATGCTCGCGTCTCAGAGTTCTCATCCTTTGCCTGAAAAACTAGAACAATGGCTGTCCCTGCAAAAACCAAACAAATTAAGCCATATGATGGAAAGTCAGGCTCAAGAGATATATGTCAGATAGGTGCAGTGCTCACAATTGTAATCCAGCACTTTGGGAGGCCGAGGTGGGAGGACTACTTGTTGCCTGGGCAACACAGCAAGACAAAAAATTAAAAAAAAAAACAAACCTTGAATTGTGCCTCACATCTTTAAAGTAAGAAAAAATAATAATGTCATCTCAAAAAAGTTTAAAAATGAGTCAAAAATTACCCAGGCATGGTGGGGCATGCCTGTAGTCTCAGCTACTCAGGAGATTGAGGCAAAGGATCGCCTGAGTGAGCCATGATCATGCCACTGCACTCCAGCCTGGGCGACAGAGTGAGACTCCGACTCAAAAAATTTTTTTAAAAAGCTCAAGCCTGTAATCTCAGCACTCTGGAAGGCCAAGGTGAAATGATTGCCTGAGCCCATGAGTTTGAGACTAGCCCTGGCAACTTGGCAAGACCTCATCTCTACAATAAATTAAAAAAATGAACCGGACATGGTAGTGCGTGCTGTAGGGCTGGCTACTTGGAAGGCTGAGACGGAAGGTTCGCTGGAGCCCAGGAGGCCGACACTGGGTGGCTGTAAGCATGTCACTGCACTCCAGCCTGGGCGATGGAGTGAGACTCCAACTCAAAAAAAAGGGGGAAAACAGCAAATTGGAGTATCAAGTCAATATTGTGGTTCAATGTAGTGGTTCCAAGTCCTATACGACTTTCTGCCAGGTTCCTGGTAGCTGAGCAGTTATACACACGATCTTGTAGCAAGTCTCATAGATGTCATAATCTCTCCTGTGTAACACTGAACTGGGCACAGAGCCTAGCATGCAGTAAGTATTCGAACACCAACAGGATGAAAGACATTAAAAAGAACAGTATCGGTGGCTGAGGTGGGAAGATTGCTTGAGCCCAGGAGTCTGAGACTGTTGGGAGCCAACATCTATAGCTACATGGCTGAGGCCTGTAAAGGCCCATCTGGAAGATCGCCTCTGACATAGGATATCAGTTATACCTATGATATTGGCATGTGATTAGTGACCAGTGAGCATACATGGCAGTAAAATTTATAAGTAAATCTCTATATATCTGATGGAAAGTTGCACAGTAAGAATTATTTTATATGACCTTGTCCCTTCTAAGTTGTACTTCTTTCTAGATATTTTTTTTACTTCTATTTCCTTGTAGACTGGTTAGTCAGCTCTTGTTCCCAAAGGCAGTTTCTCCTAGGATTAAGATTAGAAACTAAATTATCATAATAGTTTTATTGCCCTGCCCCTAGCCAGGCAGGACGTTTTTCTAGTTTCGTTACATGCCGGAACTCTGTTTGCTTCAGCCCGAGGTCATTGTCATGGTAACCGTGCAGCCCATTATCCAAGAGTGTGACAGCTACTATTTGATTTTTAGAATAGACTTGTTTGGATAAAACATACATTTAAGACAATACAATTTCCATCGAAAAGATTTAAACAGTAATAAGCATTCATAGAAAACTTTTAAGTTTTGTTTAAGCTTCCTTTTCTCAGATTATGACTTTAGTTCCTGTTCCTGTAGGCCAATTTTAAGTATACCAAAATTTTCCCAACGGTGCTGTTTTTGCTTCTAATATGACAATAGGAAATTTTACACATAGCCATGTATTAATATACTAGGAAAAAGGATTTAAGTTTTGGGTTAAAGTTCAATCACTAGATCATATAAAAATTATAGTTTAGACATATGAAACTCATATGAATTATAGTAAAGTTTGGTAGTTTAAGAATAAGTTTTAACTGAGTTATAAGGCATTACGTTAAATTGTAATAGGATAATAGTATAACTAACAGCTAAGTCATTTAAGTAAACTTATAGATTATAGTATAGTGTTAAGTTGATAATATTAATCGTTAAAAATATTGGGAGTCAGTGAACTTGGATTGAACCTAGAGTTAACTTAGAAAAGTTTTTTGTATTAATCAGGGTTTAGAACAAAGAGTATAATATGAATGATTTATTGAACACTATGGAAGACATTTTGAACAATTGAAATTGTGCACCTGTGACCTTGATGTGAGTTTTGTGAAGCACGTCAGGCATCATGGAGTTTGAATTGTCTGCTTGGAACTTGCAAGTCTCGTGATGGTCTTGTGATGCATAATTTGTAAACCGCAATATACATCATGGAATTTGTACGCCCCCAGTAAATAATTATCACACTGCTGGAGGGTATAGAAAATGGTATATAAGTTGGAAAAGGTTTGAATAAGATCGGCTCCAGTCCTGATCAGACTGTTCCCAGAAGAACTGCCTCCGAGTGGTCTTCTCGCTGTCCAGATTCTCTGGTGCGGGTCCTAACCCACCCTTGGTCAGTGCTGGTCACCGACATGAGACCAACCTGGACAACATAGAAAACCTTGTCAAAGAAGAGGAGGAAGAGGAAGAGGAAGGAGGAAGAGGAGGAGGGGAGGAGGAGGAGGGGAAGAAAAGGGTGGTAACAGAATCAAGTTTGAGGTCCCCTTTTAAGTGGTTGATGTCAAAACAAGTTCCCCAAGATGTTTTTCCCGACAGAAGCACAGGCATTCTGTGTCCGGTCACCATGATCACACTGACATTTCCTCTGATTTTGCTGCCTGTGTTTGGTTCCTGACCCCCTCATCTGTCCAGCCAAGACATCCAGAGGGGAAAGAGACGTGGTGACCCAAAGCTGCAGTCCTATAAATGCCTCCCAGCCACCAGGATGGAAAAAAATAGAAAAGTGTAGAGGGAAGCTGGGTGTTGTGGCTCACGCCTGTAATCCCAGAACTTTGGGAGGCCAAGGGCGGAGGATCACTTGAGGCCAGGAGTCTGAGACCAGCGACCAGTCTGCACAACATAATAAGACTCCATCTCTACAAAAAAAAAACACCTCAAAACATTAGCCAGGTGTGGTGGCATGTACCTGTAGTCCCAGCTACTCAGGAGGCTGAGGTTGGAGGATTGCTTGAGCCCAGGAGTTTGAGAGTGTAGTGAGCTGGGATTGCACCACTGTACTCCAGCCTGGCAGGAGAGTGAGATCCTGGCTCAAAGGAAGGAAGAAAGGAAGGAAGGGAAGGAGGGAGGGAGGGAAGGAGAGAGGGAGGGAGAGAGAGAAAGAGAAAGAATGAAAGAGAGAGAAAGAAAGAGAGAAAGACAGAAAGAGGACAGAGGACTGTCTCATGGCGGATTTCTACTGCTATTATAGAAGGATTTCTTAGGAATAATGATGTCTCCAGATCAGGACTGCAGAATCCGCACCATCATGGCTAGGATGGTGGACACAGCTTAGAGACACAGAATAGCAGGAGTCCAGGACTGATGAACAATTGTGTCGGTTAAACCGCATTTTGGGGGAGCAGGTCATCTGAAAATTCAGCAATAACCCTACAGTCAACACCTGCGATCACTATTACACTTCAAAGTTGTTATACGTAACCTATTTGAAGACAAAGAAGACATACATACACTGTCTCATCCAAAGTTTGCCAGTTATACACAGGACTACGGTTAGAACATCAACCTTTCTTGCAGACATGAAAACAAAAAATAAAGTCATATAATGGAAAAAAAAACATCAACCTTACATATTTTAATGAGCATCCCCCCCGCCTTTTTTTGTTTTTTGCCTCTCCCTAACAAATAAGAGTGCTTTACCAGAATCCGGGGGCTTGTTAATCAGCATTGTGTGCATGGCCATAATATTGGGTCCAGTGAAGCACTCCACATATTTCAGAATCTAAGAGAAAGAAAAGCAAAAACAAAGATAAGCCTTGTGGAAAATTGGACATGAAGTCAAGTGTCACAAAGTACAACTATCGGCTGGGCTCGGTGGCTTAGCCTGTAATCCCAGCACTTTGGGAGCACCCAGGGGCTCAAGATCAGCCTGGTCAGCTTGGTGAGACCTTGTCTCTCTCAATAAATCACAAAATTAGCCAGGCGTGGTAGCACACGCCTATAGTTCCAGCTACTTGGAAGGCTGAGGCGGAAGGATCACCTGAGCCCAGCAGGTCGAGACTGGTGAGCCATGATTATGCCACTGCACTCCAGCCTGGGCGACAGAGTGAGAATCTGACTCCCAAAAAAAAAAGAAAGTACAACTATCTGTACAAGAATCAAGACAGTCATAGTTTAAAAGCCAATCGGTATTTCAAAGCACTGCAAACAAAGTGTGAAAAATCCAGCCACAGGAAATCGTTAGAAGTCTACAACACTCTGAATTCCATGGGCTTCCATTGAGCCTGCCGGAATGAAACCACTTTTTTTTTCTACAAGAAAGACAGGCATTTCTAGGAGAGATCACCCTGCAAAGTGGGCAATGCTCTCCTGTCCATCAAAGTCCCAGAGGACTGCCCAGTGACAAGGCAGCTTCCTCTGCCTTGAACAAGGACTCCCCATAAGACGGGCCACAAAAGAGCCCAACACAACTTGCAGCTGTCATGAGTCGTCCAGAAGAAAGCAGAACAGTGGTTCAGAGGACACTGGACAGTCAGGGGCAGTTGACACTTAACCCATGCCTGAGGCCTACGAACCAGGCAGAGTGATAAGAAACAGGAATAGCAGGGTAAGTAAGAAAAGAAGTCCCTGTCCCCATGAGGTTTAATCTTGTGGGAAGAAAGATGTTAAACCAATAAAGGGCTGGGTGTGGTGGCTCATGCCTATAATCCCAGAATTTTGGAAGGCTGAGGCTGGAGAATCACTTGAGGACAGAAGTTTGAGACCAGTCTGGGCAACACAGTGAGATCCCGTCTATACAAAAATTTTTTTTTAAAACTAGCCAGACATGGTTGTGCACATCTGTAGTCCCAGCTGCTTGGGAGGCTGAGACAGGAGGATCGCTTGAACCCAGGTCAAGGCCGCAGTGAGCAATGATCATGCCACTGCACTCCAGGCTGTGTGACAGAGGAAGACCCCAACTCTAAAAAACGAAATTTAAAAACAAAAAAGTCTCAGACATCATCAAATATCCACTGAGGGCAAAATCATCTCCAGCTAAGAACCACTGCTCACAGAGCTGTAAGCAGAGGGCAGGGGATAAAGTAGCAGATTTAAAAATAATATATAGCCAGGCTCAGTGGCTCAGTCTGTAATCCCGCGCCTTTGGGAGGCTGAGGTGAGTGGATTGCCTGAGCCCACGGGTTCGAGACCCGCCTGGACAGCGAGACCTCATCTCTACAATAAATCAAAAAATCAGCTGGGCATGGTAGCGCATGCCTGTAATTCCGGCTACCGGGAAGGCTGAGGCGGAAGGCTCGCTGGAGCCCAGCAGGCGAGGCTGCGGTGGCCGGAAGCAGCCACTGCACTCCCAGTCTGGCGAGAGTGAGACTCCAAATCAAAAATAAAAATAAAAAGGAATAAAGAAATAAAAATACACTGACAAAACATTGAAGTAAGAGCATGCTTATAAATATAAAAACAGGAAATTGACTTTTTATACAACAAAAATGCGAATTGATAGTCTTTACATAGTCAGGATTGTGTTTGATATGTGGCTCAGCCTGTAATCCCGTGCCTTTGGGAGGCTGAGGTGAGTGGATTGCCTGAGCCCGCGGGTTCGAGACCCGCCTGGGCAGGCGAGACCTCATCTCTACAATAAAAATCAAAAAAATCAGCCGGGCGTGGTAGCACGAGCCTGTAATTCCGGCTACTCGGAAGGCTGAGGTGAAGGATCGCCGGAGGGCGACAGAGTGAGACTCCAACTCAAAAAAAAAAGCTCACACTTGATATGGAAGTGAAAACCTGTCAAACTGTTTATAATATGTTAATGTGAACTTAGAATAAATATAATAGGGTATCCGATGTCCCCTTTCTAGTGTAAGAAATAATAGAGCCATGAAAAATATACAAATGTGTGTGTCAAAAATTTTGCTTTTATGTGGTTTTTATGCATCTTGAATAATAACTCTGCCTAGAAATAACTGCATTTCATGTTTGATATATTTCTATGCTCATGGATTTTCTTTTGAAGTCAGTCAGCCACAGTAAAATTTAAAATTTCAGTGTTTGTAATTTGATATAGGAATAAATGTAAATAACGTTGGCTCAAAATATGGATGTTAAACTAAAAGAAAAGAGATAGGAGCCGGGCTCCGTGGCTCAGCCCTATAATCTCGCGCTTGGGAGGCCGAGGTGAGTGATTGCC